GTGCAACAATTCCATTCATTTGCAACCCTATGATGATTGCTTCGGAAGTTAATATGCATGGAAACTATAGCTATTAAATGAGGGGTGTACAAAATCTGCGGTCGGTTCACATTGTTGATCACTGTCTGGTGATTTTCCATAACAGCTGGGAAACACACGATGAGTCTCTTGTCAATATGTGAAAGTCCTTGGTGTTTATGCAGATTCACCAGTGAACTCACACTCATCCCATCACAATCACCACAATGTTGTCTTGGAATGGGCAGCGCAGGGGTGCTTTCAACTCTGGGCCTAGCTCTTCATTCTTTAATTCTTAAACTTCTGCCCTGAAACCCCAAACATGATTTTATGGTAGTCAGAGGCTGCCAGTTCCTTTTGCAGCCAATGTATTTACTAGGAGACAGCCAATTAATTTTATACAATATAGGGCACTCTGCAACCATCAGGATGCCTTGACTTTTGTTCCCTGTATTGACCTAGACTGGATTTGAACCACTGATCTAGAAGTAATATGCTCTGTAACCCATTAGTAATCTGTTGAGGCATCAAGTTTTAGCCTCACCCTCTTTGCCCACCCCCCTCTATCATATAAAAACAGCAACTTTTCCCTCCTCAAAAGAGAAAATTGAGCATATATGGGGGGAAACAGGCATTTGCCCACACCCTTCATTACATAATACGTAGCAGTGTAAATGCAGGCTTACATTAGTCTATTCATTGTGTGCATTCAGTCTCTAGAAATCTACTTCAAGGAAAATAAAAGGAGTATTGCTCATTAAAAGATAAACAAGATAAGAAAAGCAGACAATGTCAATGTCAGCACAGGCCCAGATCCTTAAGTTAGTTACACTTTTCAGTTTGAGGCAATATATAAATCTATTCTCCATTACTGGGGTGGGGGTGGGGGAGGAAGGGATTAGTCTTCTCAAAACAGCGAGAGCCAAATTCTCTGCTCAGTCAAATACGAATAGCCTTAATGTATGATTTTCTCCTTTTTAGTCCATTGTACATTGCATTATTTCGCATTAAGGCACAATTGTGTAACATCTGCAGAATTATGGAAATAAAAGACTGTGGGGGAAAGTAACACAACAGAACATGTGGTAGAGGGTTGCTTTAGATGCCCAACAGATATTTTGCCTGATACAAGTACACTTCAGTAATCAGGCAGAATCAAGCCATATGCATCCATTGAGCTATGTGAAGACATTTAGAGTGTACAGGGAACTCTTAATTTGATTGATTGATTGCAATTATTTATATCCTGCCTTTCAGGATACAAATCCATTAAAGCTGGCTTACAAGTAACATTAAAACTGCATTAAAAAACAAACTGCAGCTGTGGGGGTTGCGTTCCAAGGCACCATGCACATCAGTGAAATCGTGTATATTTGAAACACCATTGAAAAAGTCTACAAATACCCTGTTCTGCCCCGTCACGTTCCACCTCTTTCTTTGGTATTTTTGGATCAGCATGATGTGTGTATGCACAGTCGTGAACAAATTGAGTGTGCATAAATTGGCGATTGTGTGTGCCTTTGTTGTTGTTGTTGTTTAGTCGTTTAGTCATGTCCGACTCTTCATGACCCCCTGGACCAGAGCACGCCAGGCACTCCTGTCTTCCACTGCCTCCCGCCGTTTGGTCAAACTCATGCTGGTAGCTTTGAGAACACTGTCCAACCATCTCGTCCTCTGTCGTCCCCTTCTCCTTGTGCCCTCCATCTTTCCCAACATCAGGGTCTTTTCCAGGGTGTCTTCTCTTCTCATGAGGTGCCTTTATCATCATATAAAAACTTGTTAGGATCCTTCCAACAGGACAGTTTTTAGGATTGGGAGAGAAAGCCCAGCAGCAGCAGAGCCTGACAAGTGGTGTCCTGTCCTGGGCCCATTGTTGTTTGTCTTTATAAACAACTTGAGGGGATGCTGATCAAATTTGCAGATGATACTAAACTAGGAGGGGGAGATAATGCCGCAGAAGACAGAATCAGAATTCAAAATGACTTTTACATATTGGAGAACTGGGCCCAAACAAACAATAGGGACAAATGTAAGGTTCTGTACTTAGGCAGGAAGAACCAGAAGCACAAATATAAGATGGGGGTAACTGGCATTCCAGTAATACTTATATATTTGCAGTTTGCAAATATGAAAAATGCTGGATTTAGCTCTCTGGACCTGATTAAATAGTGAGGACATGGGAGTTCCTGAGTTCCAAACCCAGCTCAGTGATGACATGCTCAGCAGGTGTGACTGATATTTGTCCACATGGCTGTGGCTTCAGATCTCTTGACCACTGAGGAGGAGTCTTAAAGTCTTCCAGGGGAGGGGGAATTATCTCAGGAAGCCTGGATCATGCCATCTTGGTAGGTTTGTACTGGTGGGGTTCTACATTTGACTGTTGCCGTCCTCCCAGCAGAGCTTTTGAGAAGGAAAACATAGCTCAGTGGTTGAATGCATGTCTGAATCTTGGTAGAGGGTCTGGAGAAGGTCTTTGCTCCAGTCCTTGCAGAGTTGTTGCCGGTCAGAGTAGGTGAGATACTGCTAGACTAGGTGGCATCGACTAGATGGTCTGGCCTTTATATGATGACAAGGACCTTGAGCTAATCACAGGATTGTTTTGAAGATGCCATCCTGAGTTCCTTAGAAGAAAGGTGTCATATGAACAAGATGAAAATGACAAATTTACTGCCAGTTACTATAGCAGGATCATGTTGAGCTGTATCGCTGAGTTAAGCACTGGGTGTTTCCAGGCACTAGAAAGAATATTTTAAAACAAAAATAAGGTGTGCTGCAGATGGTTACATGTAACCCTGATCCAGCTATAATCACAGAAACTAGTCAGGTATATCTACTGATGTATCCCTGTTTATCTGCAGCCAAATTGCTCAATATGGTCTGATGTGGAGCCCGTTGCCCATCCATACCCCCACCAGCATAGTAGGTTGTGTACAGGTCTCTCTGGCTGGATAAGGGTGGTAGACCTTAAAGCTTCCCACTACAGCAGATTGGAGCCCGTACAGCAAGGTGGAAACATTTCAAGCAGGATTTAATTTGAAGAGGGTAGCACAGATTGGAGCCAGCAGATCTTTGGCTGTCCTGACTCCATCCCTTTCCCCCACACATATGGCCTCTCTCAAGGGCATACACTGGCTGTCTCCACCAGGGATATGCCAGGACTCCAGCAATCACTTGTGCCCACCAGCAGTTTAGGTGGGTGCAGTCAGGAGTTCCCAGTAGTGGAACCCACTGACCAGTGGAGCATGTCGCAATTGGACAGAGAGACACCCCCCCATCTTATCCAACCCCCCTCTAGCATGGTGGAATGGATGCTTGGATTGTTCTGCCCTTTGGGCAATGGCACCAGCAGACACTGGAAGATCTGAATCCTGAGGGACTCATGAAGAAGGGTAGCCAACAATTCCCATCTTGTCAAATAGTTCTGAAATATTACATAGAGGGGTTGTCTAATTTTTTTTCAATATACCAGAAATTCTTCTTCATTAACCTTCCAAAATTATAAAATACGCTGATCTTTTCTGGATACTATTTTAATTATAGCAACGCACCATCCAGTTAAGTTAAGGACCATGGTATCTAAAAATGCTGACATTTGGCTCGATTGTGTCTAGAGTTAAAATAACACTTGTTTTGCAAATCTCCAGGGTTCGGGCTCTCTTCTACAGTTCTTGTCTTAATCTGTTTTATCCTGACGTGCATCTTAATTTCTTTGGCACCATGCATATGCTTCCATGTATAATCATTTAGGACCTCCAGGCAACTTTGCACTTTAGCACTGAATCTTATTTTATTCCTTTTAATATCCTTCACCAGCCCACAGAGCTCTACAGCCATAAAACAGCTGTAACAAATTGAGGCCGTTTTCTTCTTATCCATTTGCACAACGAGACTCCCAGGAATTTCCTTCTTGGCTTGTGATTGTCAATTATATATTTCTTTTAAAGACTTTTTAAAAGTACAGTTACCCCATCATCACATTCTCATGAAGTGAGCTATAAAGTGCCAGTATTTCCATTTTACAGATGGGAAACTGATGCCAAGAGACACTAACTTGTCTAAAGCTGATCTGCAAAGACAAAGAAAAAAGAACTGGGATTCAAACAGAGATCTCTCTCCCAGACCTAGGCCACTTTCTGGTGGACAACATTGACTGCTGAAAAATTTGTCACCACACAATTTATAGCAGGGGCGGCTAACTTGTCCTCTGGATGTTATTAGATTTCAACACCAATATTGGCCTATGGTCAGGGATAATGGGAGTTGCAGGCAAGTATGGCCAATGGTCAGAGATTATGGGAATTGTAGTTCAATGACATCCAATGGTCCACAAAGTAGGTGTCCATGACTTACAGTGATAGCATTCATTCTGTTGCTAAGAAACGTTAACCTATTACTTTACTCAGTATCTTTATAGGAGGACTTCATAATTTGAGACTCATAGAACTGAACACCAACTATGTGTTTTGGCATCTCAGGTGTTTGGCAACTGCCCCACAGGCTCAAAAAACATTTCTTAACGCTTCTGTTCAGCTGCCAAACATTAATTGTCGGGTTCTCTTCACTTGGCAAGTGACTGGCAGTACAGACCTGCCCTACAATCTTTTCTGTTCTTCCAGCTTCCACTTTCTTGGCTCCCACTAATGTCTGGATTCTAGTTTCCTTCAAGAGGCTTGACCAGTGGTGCTTTCTCTATCTATGTTCAAATCGTTTCCCCTACCTATGCAAAAGAAGAGTGAGCTGTCTATGAAGACTGCTGTTACTGTAAGAATGTGTCTCAGAGGGAGCAGGAAAATCATGCACATTGAGACTGTACTCACATTTTGAGCTTTTATATCTGCAGGCAGAAGCCTATAGCAGAGGTGGCCAGCTTTTGTTTTCTCCTCTGCTCTTCTGACAGTGCTCTGGAGTCTGGCAGTATATCTTTGCAATCTACGCAAAGAAACACATGTAATTCTGATTTGAATTTTATTTTTTACTTTTAGCTACCTCATCCCTGAATTCCCAGCTTCAGCAGCTTCAACAGCTTCAACATCTCCAGCAGCAGCAGCAGCAACAACAACAAGGCCAAACTAGCCAGCAGCCACAGGGACAAGCCAGCCAGCCACAACATCAATCTCAGCCACAGCCACAGACGCAGCAGCCGCAGCAGCCACAGCCCCCGCCTCCACCACAGACGCAGCAAACACAAAGTCAGAGTCAGCCGCCACCAGCTCAGCAGTCTTCAAGCTCTCCTCAAAAGCCCAACCAGTCACCAGGGCATGGCCTTCCCTCACCTCTCACGTCACCAAACTCACTCCAGGTAAGGCCCGTGATTATCTGAGAATTTGTTCTGGCCACTTCTTCCAAAGTTTCTCTTGCTTCTCAGCATACCTCTTCGTTTTGTTTGAGTAACCATTTGCACATGTTTTCACTTGGTTGCTGGCATCCATCTGTCTTGACTCTTGAGAGACAATGGAGCAAACATCTGGGGATGAAATCAAACAGCTGTGTTAGCAGGACTGAAGTGACCTCCCCTAGGGCACAAGCCTGGGCAGTGCATATGGAGGTCCTGGGCTGCCCAAACAACAAGACCCTCCCTTGACCTCACTGATGTGGTTCAAAGGAAAGCAGAGCAATACGATTGGCACTAGCTTGGCTGCAGCAGTTGCCAGAAGGATGCCATCCAACCATCTTAGACAATTCACTGTGGATTTACATAGGGTTTCCTTCTTAGACTTTTCTTCTCCCAAATATGTCCCACAAGGCAACAGAGGTTGAAGATCATAGTTTTCCTTCTCCTAGATGGGCTGCCTTCCCAGGTTGATGAGCCCACCTGCCCCTCCCTTTCCTCTACAGCATGTTCAGAAACCACCTTCTTGACCGTTTGACCCACTATTTCTCTTGTCTGCGACCTTGGGGGCAGGTGGGTAGAGATGGAGAGGTATGGGATAACTGAAGGGAAAGGTGAGATGCTTCCCACAAGCTGCCAGCTCAGCTACTGATGGGCAGAGATATTCCCTCCCCCCATGGTTCTCTCTCTCCTCGTTTTATCTTCACAACAGTCTTGTGAGACCAGTTGGGTTGAGAGTGAGTGAGAGACTTAAGGGCAATTAGTGGGCTTCATGGCTGAGCAGGGATTTAAGGCATGTGGACATAAGAAGAGCCTACTGGGTCAGGCCAATCACCTACATCGCTCATCATCATGGTCTCACAGTGGCCAACCAGATATCTATGGGGAACCCCAAAATAGGACTTGGATTTAATTTGTTCAAGGCTGAATGAAAATATTTTTCCCCAAATCAACTTTTGCCCATAAAAGGGTGGCTATTGTCCTCCACCTCTTTCTGGTCACCACTCTCCTGCCCCTCATACTTTCCCACAACACCCTGGCAACTATCACCCAGTTTATACCCACTCTTAAGCACCAAGACCTATTTCATTCTTGGTTTGTCCCAGGTATATAGCATTACACTATCATTTGTGCCTATTTAAAGAAAGGATACAGGCTGCGCGCGCACACACACACACACGAGTATGGTGGTATTGATGACTAGACGTATAGTGCAGTCTGCAAGCACCTGCAAATAAGAACAGCAGTCTGTGAAAAAACAGCTGGTACGGATGTACCCTAAGTCTCCATGTGGTAACAAAGAAGAGCCCATTTCATTCCTCAGGAAGGCAATGATCCACTCACTGCAGGGAAAATAAAATGAACCCTGCAGGGGTTGCATGTACATGCTGATTGCTGCCAGCTAATTTAAATCAATCTTTTGTATGCATGCTGTACCGAACCAGCAGCTTTTACGTAAGCAATAAGAAAAAAGCAAAACCGAACAGTGGGAATTCCTAGACTGCTTTCCACTGAAGGGTAAATGCCTCTTTTTCTAGTGTGTTATCAGCAACTTACACAAAATAAGCCATAGGCACAAGTATAGGAAAGCCAGGGAAATGTGTTTCACACAGCTTTGGAAGTGGGATGGATTTTTATTAGTTCATCACCCAGCATATTTGGGAAGCTCATACACAAGTCTCATTCACTCAGGATGTTCTCCGCACTGCAAACGTGCAGCCATACGCCCTGCATGCTTACTTGTAAGACTTATTCCTAAATGTGCATGGGATTGCAACCTTAAACCCAGGTAACTCTTGGGATTGGTGAGAGGAAATTAGTATTTGCCACAGAGAAGGTCCACCTCCTTCATCGAAGTACGCTTCCCATAATTCTTTGGGGGAAGCCACCAATATGAATGTAGTATGGACAGGTCCTCTGTGGTAACTATCCTTCACATGAGACAGAAAAAGCAGCCAAATTTATTTTGAAACATAAACAGAAGAGAAATCCACAAGATAGCAAGCAAGATAAAGATTTTGGCCACCCCACATCTCTATCTTTGTCTCTTGAAGTTGTCCCTTTAACAGCCTTTTGATCTGCAGCAATGTTACCAGATGGTAAAATGTATGTCAATTCTGTAAAGAGTTTCACCAGCTGATTCCTGCATAAAAAGCAATCCAGGCTATTTTCTTATTGACCTGATTTGCTCTATTGATTAAAGAGGGGATGGGAAAATCTCACTCATATGCACATACTAACAGTGGCGTAGTGTGGGGGGTGCAGGGGGGGCCGGGCGCAACATGGGGGGGCACGCTCGCACTCGCAGCTCTCTGCCCCTACCTGTGCCCCCTACCCCCACGGGTTAGGGGGCACAAATTACTTGCCTTGCCCCGGGTGCTGACAACCCACGCTACGCCACTGCATACTAATAAATATTGTTGTGTGCCATGCTGTCATGCTATTGGCTGAATGTTAATTAATAGGTGATAAATGCAAAAGATCACTTCCCATTTGTATGGACAATGTACCTCTACCTGTAGAGAGGATCCAGGAATGAGAGCAATTACTATGCACGTGTGAGTCAGAGCAATGGATGTGCTTCTTCCTTTTCTACAAAAGGCTACATCCCAGCCATGCTAAAGTCAGAGTTTTAGACACACATCCCAACACCTTCTCTCCATCGGCAAGCAAATGGCGTTACACAATTCTAGGACACATTCAAGCCAGTCAATAGCACTTGAGGAGGCTGTGGAGCAGGACTGGTGAGGAGAGCAGCCTGGGGAAGGGGAATGTCCTTAGAGTCACCTAGGGCTGTACAGAGACCTATCGTGCCAGATTTGGCACCCTGGTCTGTGCCTGCCGGTCACCCTATTGATTACAATGGAAATTCCTTCTGAGTCAACATGCCAAAGACTGAACTACAGACGTGGGCCAAGTTTTACGGGGTGGGGAGAGGCAGTTTGGAACTTGGTTGGCGGGGGAAGCATGTTCTGTTTTCATCACAAAAACCTGTTGTTTTGAAAGAGTCCCTGGGCTCGGGAAATCCACCGTTTGCTGCAAAGGTTCCCATGTAGCCATAGCACAAAGGGTATTAGTTTAGAATTCTTTGGCCTCAAAAGCACAAGTTTCTTTAAAAGGCACGGCAATAATATAGTGCCAATGAGTACTTAAGGTTCGTGGGCAGTCTATTGTGTTAGCAAGAGCTTAGGGACTCTTTAATCATCATTATTGATGATGATGATGAAGAAGGAGGAGGAGGAGGGAGGGAGGGAGGGAGAGATCCAAAGGGGTTGCTGTCACATTTCATTGTCTCAGTGCCACTGCCAAGCCAGCATAGATGAGTAAATTCTGTATGAGACACATCCTAAACTGCTTGTTAACTACCCATCTGTTTGCTGTACTGCTAAGCAGCTACTGTTGCCTTTCGTCTTGCCATCTTTAAAATTATTTGAATGCACCTGTAGGATTGGCTGGGAGGTGTTTTGTTTTGTTTTGTTTTGTTTCCTCCTGACCCTTGACTGGCCACTAGTTTTATGAGGAAACCATTCTGAGGAAGGATCAGAGTGTGGGAGGCCAGTCCTCCTCTGTATTTTCCAGGTACCAAGCAATCCTGTTCCCACAGTGCACTGCTTCTTGCCACTAAGCTCAGGGACCAGTTGATATTCCTCACTGGCCAGATTTGACCCCCGGCTCTCTAGCTGCTGATGCCTACATTAGAACAAGGGGACTTACAATAGCCCGCAGCAGGTACTTGACACCATTTTCCACAACCACTATTGTAAAAGCCTCTAAGAAGCCGGTTTGTGTTTGTGTCTGTTTTTTGTTTTTGGTCTGTTGCTTTAACTTAAATATTGACTTGGAATTAAATTCTAGGAAATAATAGCCTCCAAGGTAAATGGTCTTTATGAACTAGAACGAAGCAGTTTCAGTTTGAAGAATATTAAGGGAATAAAGATCAACTAAGTTACAATTTGACAGGTTAAATTTCATTTCTGAATTCTTGATTTTTCATGTGAGTTTTATCTTCTTACATTATTCAGCGGCTGTCTGAAAGATATTGGTTTAGAACAGGGCAACTTAGAAAGATTGTCATGGAGAAGCCAGTAATACAGAAGGATGATTGCATTTATTTCAAAAGGCTCTGAAGGATAACAACAATTATAACTAAAAATGTACAGGTGCTGTCATGTCTTCAGACAGAAAATTAAATGAAAGTGACTTTGTTACATATACCTGAGTGAGGTATTTTACTTTCTTTTGTTGATTTTAAATGGATGGTGGTGTTGGGCTGCAAACAGAGCTACAAAATTCAGAATGATTCTTGTCAGATTTTTCTGTGTCACGCTATGATTTTATTGCTGTTTTGCACTTAGGTCAGCAGACAGTGCTGCATTTCCAAGTTGCATGATGTGTGTAGGTGTGGGTGTGTACATACACACACACACACACAGAGAGAGAGAGAGAGAGAGAGAGAGAGAGAGAGAGAGAGATACACAAACAGTATATATGGCTACCTGTACTGGTTACCAGGGCGATCTTTGACCACACTTTTAACCTGTTTTGGTGGTGTTACTCCTCACATAGATTGTGATATTCATGAATTTACAGCACAAACATGCTTTTCAGGTGCATAGACTTACTTCTGCAACCTTCAGGAGAAAGTACTTCCAGAGTTCCTAACATGAAGTATCATTTCAAGCATGTGATTGAGAGTAAGAACAGAAAACAGTTTACACAATTAAAGTAAACCATACTGTACACTGTGGTAGGAACAGGATAGCAGCTAAAGGTCTGGATTCTAATTTCTTGCAGTTCATGCCAAGGACTTCCAGGCCTCAGTGGTCCTTCTTTTAAAAGTACACGCTCATACACTCATCTAAGCAGACATGAACCATTTTTTATTCAATCATACATATGAAGTTGCCAGATCATATTGGTTCATTATACAAATAACCCCTTATAATTCCATATCTAATGCAACAGGATCT